GTTTCGATTATTTCGCGGATTGCCAGCCCCTTGCGCTGCGTTCCGTCAATGGGGGCGCTTCCTGCTTTTTTTAACGTCGTTGCTTTTCCTTTGAGACATCGTAATTGCAGGAAGAGTTAATTTGTGAAATCTTACGTTTAATAACGAATGTTTTCAAAGGTTTGTTTCTTTGTTATCTTTGAATAGAAATATCTTTTGTGAATTTATTTCTAGAAGCAAGATATCGCATTAACAGTTTATATTATCTTATTAATATTTTATATATCATATAAACTTTCTTTTATTGATTTTTTATTTAAATACACTTTGCAATATTGTTTCTATTCTTACCTTGTAATGTATTATGAAAATTTATTACATATAATTATATCAATATATATCAATGTTAGGTATATATCACATATCTTTTTCATTAATTGGTTTTTTATTGAAATATATTTTGCAATATTAGTTTTTTAATTTGAAAAATCGAGCATTCAATTTTTTTTATTACAATTTGAATTATAGTTTCTATGTTTAACTTAAAAAAGAACACAGAGGCATTTTTATAGGTTAGGTTCGGCACGTGTAAAACTATTTGCGCTTTATCGTCATTTTATTTAGGAATGGTCTTTTCAGTATTAATGGTTCTTTTAACACGATCCCCTAAAGTAGGTAGAGCAAACAAGGTTTAGTGAGCTTGATACACAGAGGAACATCCCAATACCTAATGTCATTAATTTCGACGACACTGTGAAATTTATATACCACAGCGATATCATGTAAGTTCGCCATAATTTTGTGAACTGGAATTAAAAGCACGCTGAAACGAAGTATCAAAAACTTCAATAAAATTACTAAACAAATTTTCGCGAAGTTATTGACTTCCCGCCATAATTAATTTATCCGACCGAAACAAAATTTTATATTTAAAATTAAAAATTTTTAATTTCATATTTCTATACAAGCATAACCGTAACGAAAAAAAAATGTTGAGATGATAGAATTTCATTCGTAAATGAGAATTCGCGAGATAGAAATTTCGACGAGAATCGAATCTGCGAATTTTTCGAAATTCCGCAGTTATTGCAAATTAACGTAACTTAATTACGATTTAAAAAGATGATTAATTCGTTGCTCGTTATTAAGCCGAGTATAGTAAATTAAGACAGTATAAGAGGAGATTATCCCAAATTATAAGTTCAATTCACGGTGTTTGATTTTATCTCGCGAATGAAAGAGCTGCAATTAATTACAGTAGCTGCAAAATTTTAATGGCTGTAGTTAATGATAATTCGTCGATCATTTTCACGCGAATATGCTTCATGCGAATAACGAAATTGCATAATAGCTCGCTAAACGAGACGAATGTTATTCTTTCGGTTGAAAATTGCTGGAAATATCAAACTGAAGGGATTGAACTTATAGGGCCGACGCTTGTCGAACAAAAGCATCCTGGGGGAGATGCTCCCCTCGCGGAGGGAATTTCACATTCAAGTATTTCAGGGATTCTAACGAGAGTACTAGCGCACAATTATAGCGTAAAATTAATAATCAATGCTTGGAAACGCGACAGATGTCGCCCCGACATTTTGTTTCGGCACTGCGTTTCCTTAACTTTGTTTTAATCGAGGCTAATCGAATCCAGAACGTTTCTATCGGCCAAATATTAAAATATCGAACGTTCCCACTGAAAAGCCAGCAATTAGCCGGACTAATAAAATTGTCAATAGTATCGAGAAATTTATGCATATCGCCTGTATGCACACGGGAACACGTGGTTCGCGTAATTCTTATGGAGAATATGAGATATTAAAAGCGTTCCAAAATATTTCACTCGAGTTAACCAACGGGTAATTATTTATTTCTTATCTGCTATCTGCTAACGAAGCATTCGATTCGTAATGTACGATATTTTAACCCCCGACAGTCGAGAGGCGACCCTCAGTCGCCACTTCGCAAAATTAGAAGAGTCGAGACTCGATATTAAATTTCAAATAACGCGGGAGTACGCGAGGTATTGAAATAAAATAGTTCTACGTTAATTTATACGTAACGTCTTTTTACATCGCGAAATATGGCGACGGTTTTGCGGCAGAGAGACTTCGAGTCGCTACTACCCTATAGCGAAAAACCTTCGAGTACAAGGAGTTAAGACAGGCAAAAGTAGCAGCGGATAACTTCAGACGTGTATCGATCGTAATCATTGGGAGTTTTATTCCGTTTGCATCGATAACAATTCCTTTATATAATCGCGAAATTATCTTCTGCGATTTTTATTGCAATTATATACAACGATTTTCCGCATTAAAGTAGTTTGAGAAGATTATTCAGACGTTAATAATATATCGCTCGAAATAAGACTTCCAAAAACTTCGTACACTATAGTAAGATCGTTGGAAATTTTGTAATTTCTCTTTAAAAAATTATATTAATCGGCTTGCGAAATAAGCCCTAATTTCAGTTTCCAAGAATCTACTTTAACAACACTGCTAGGCTATTTCTAATCACGAATGATATTAATAAACGATTAATAACAAGCACTACAATGTACATCGGAGAAAGCACTTTACTTTCAGTTCGAATGGTTTACGCGAATTTATAAGTCTCGGCATGGTGAAATTCGAAACCACGCTCGGCCGTAACGGTTAAACACGAAGAACGTAAAATATAAATCGATCGAAGTCGAATAGAAATGTTTCAAACCCCGTTCGAACGTTTGAATAGCAGAGAAAAATATTCAGCGCGATAATAACCTGTAATTTAAGATAATACTCGATTCGCTAATAAATCGTTTGGCGGTCACGTTCGAAAATTAGATCGAATTAGATGGCCATTAACTAACGTAGTATATCACTAGCGCAGCTGTGGGTAAAAATTACGCGCACTGTCAGAAGCAACGGTTTTCTGGGAGAGGTAATTGAAAAAACGCGTGGATCGAGTGGATCGATCGTTAATCTCGAGGAAAGAAAATGATCGAAGTTTGCGTGGAACCGAGTTTACGCGTTTGATGGCGACCATGGCAACGTTTGTTCACGGCACGATAGCAGGATGGTGGGAGTTTTAAGAACAGCAGGACGTTCAAGCCGCTAGCAGTACGGGGCGTAGAGGGGCAGGAGGGGAGGGCGGAGGGGAAGCAGAGACGGCAGACGAGGCAAGCCTCGAACCGTACGGTCTCGATGCCAGTCGCGCTCCTGCACTTCTACGTTACCGAACTGTTAGTACGCGTTCGCTCTCGCACTTCTACGTGTGTTTATGTGTATATATACGTGCGTGTATACACGATCCTGTCTGCCGAACGCGCCCACGGTGTAAACACTTTCTATTCTGACCTCGCTCGCTTGATCGAAACTTGGGCGACGAACAGAGAAGCTAGAATAGTCGGGAAAAAGTGACACGCACCGTTAAGTGGTATCCTGTGAGTTTTACCCGTTGTACTGTTACGAGATCCAAGTATGAAAATGACAGTGAACTTCAGTGATGGAATGAACAGCCGTATCGAATTCGAAGTGAACCACGATCGAGTGGGATCTTAGTCTTCTGGTGAGCTCTCACACGCGTTCTACACGCGAATAATGTCAGCGAGCAAGGAGTGCTGAGTTACGCGTTGATTGAAAGTCGCAGAGGAAGATATATATTTACGTGCGGCCCGGTGTGTTGAAATCCCCGAGCTCCGTCGGTGCGTACATACGCACGGCAGACGAATATACGTATTATTTTCGAAGAGTTTTTCCCGCGCGTTTTTTCTAACAGAGAAAGGCAAGTGCACGAAAGTATCGCATATGTACCGGGCGAATTTTCGTGCGGCGTGCGCCGTCTTGTACGGAGTCAAATTTCTGATACTCGACGTCGTGGTGTCTAGCATTTCGAGGATCAGCGTAGCCTCGTAAAGGGTGCAACAGAACACTTGCGTTAGGTTAGGTCGGAGAGTCGAGATCGAACTGTAGTTCCCCTAGTGAGGACGTTAAAAGGATACGCGTTTGGTAGAGGCTTAAAGCGCAATCGAGGATACAGTAGGCGGTTATGATGGGTGTATTGAGGTGGAGGCACGATCTCAGATCGGATGCCGGCCAACAGCAGCAACAACGGCCCAACACCGAACGATCTTCGGCAGGACACAGCAATCATGCGCACGCGCATACACACACACTGCCGAAACTTATATCACAGGTGAGTTTTTCCCGCGCTCTTAGAAAATCACTGCAGTGACCCGGCAATTTCATTGGTCCTTTTGTTGCCTTACGTGAATTTTCTCTAAGTGTCGGACTTAGACACGATCGAAGTGACCGGAACTAACCTATACGCGTCTGTCCTTTTCTATTATATTTTTATTCTCGTTACTATTATTTTTTCTACTTAAATTGGAAATTCGGAATTAGGATGGCTGTTCTTTAGGATTAGGGGATTGGATGATCTTTCCGATCACATCTGATCGGACAAAAGTTTTCCCGTCGACAGATGCAGCCCTATGAAAGGAAAATATTGTATAGCTTACTGGCAAGCTTTCATTTTATGAATGGAACATATGTTCCATGAGACTTTTTGTAAGGATTATCATTGTGGAGTGATACTTTATAGTCTTTTTATATTTTCCATTTTTTTTTTTTTTTTTTTTTTTTTTTATTCGACTGCTCTTTGATGAAACTTTTATTCGATTTCACGTTCGTATAGAGAGTCAAGGAAAAGAAAAAAAAGACGTAAGAATTCCCGTATCTCTCATCTGGTGTTATTATCGATATCGAATGTACGCGTATAATCGACAGAGGGCAGATAAAGTATAACCTATTACGTGTTGCGCAGTTTCGTATTCGACGAAGCCGGTACGTATATTTCTCGTTCACGGTAACTTTGCGATCATTATTGTTTACGTGGTTCATTTTCGTAAACAAAGCGTAGTCGAGGGAATTTCGGGTGTGGGTAACGAAAACTCGAAAAGCAACATCGGACGAAATTAAACTCGCCGAAACTTTCCGTCGTTTGGCAAAGGTACAGACGTAACCGTCAAGTATAAACGTGTCTGCGAAATGCATGCGATCTGACCGAAATAACTCGTCTGATTTCGCGAATAACGAGCGAATTCCACGATGGGCGTGCTTCCACGGCTACTTCGGAACAATTACACGAGACCGGTTGGCATTGTCAGTGACACACGGGATCGCCAATCGAACCGGTAAACGCAATAATGGCCGAGCCACTGCGCGTAACAGTTCGATGCGTTGTCTGCGCATTCCTGGATGATCCGTTCGCGATCTTAATTCCCTTCGACCGCGCATGCGCACTTCCGCGTATTTCATTTTCGTGCGTCGTTCGACGCTGTGTGGCACGTCCGCATCGGAGAGAGAAACGTAACACCGTTGTTACCTTTTTTTGCGCGAACTCGTGAAGCTCTTGCGTCGGTCGGAAGGAAAAGTAGCAGAAGACTTTAGCAGCAGTGCTCTAGCGGCGGCATCGAGACAAAAGAAAAGGTGCAATGGTAGTGGAGGATGGAAAGGAAAGAAAAGGAGCAACGGCGAGAAACGAGCGCGGTAACTGTAACCACAAAGATCGGCTTCGCGGTAATTTTCCTCTAACAACCCGTTACTCCATCGTTCTGCGCCACGAGACGATTTAAAAAGTCCTATTTTCCCATGACCGGCCAACTGGTCGGTTACGTGCGCGTAAGATGCTCGCCCGGAACACGCGTGAATAAGGGTCGCGCGCATTCTACACGCGAAAACCTATACATTCGCCATTATTACTCGAAGGGCCTCAGTCGTCCGACGAGTTAAAGGCTCGCTTTTAACGACTCGCCAGCACGTGCTCTCGACGACAGGCACTTTAATCCCTGCCGAAGACGAACTCGGCCTGATTGGCAAGAATTACACTTGTCGTCGTCGAATGCGAATTAAAGTTTGTTTAAAGGTCTTGAAAGCGAGACTTATTAGCAGCGTGCCGCGTAGCGCTGCCTGCTTCTTCGTGCCCGATCCCACCGATAATCCTATTGTAGATGGCGCTGTGCGGGAATTCTTCTACCTGTCTTTCCTATCCTTCGGTACTCGGCTCGGTGGCTCGTTTTCTGAGATATTTGGGAAATTCCCGATTACATTGTAAAACCTGGCTGTCAATCTACGTTTATTTGGTCAAGTGCTCGAGAATAATACCATTTGTCACTGTGTAAATTCGAGGTTATGTAAGATAGGCATGAATGGTAGGTTGTAACGTACATTAAACGAGAATGTTACCGGGCCAGTAGCTACTTTTTAAGGGAATCGTGTAAGAGAAAGTGCAATGTTGATTGTATGCGAACGTTTTAAGAGATAAATCTGTGACTCGAGTACTGAAGATAAATTTGTAACATGGAATGGGAGCATGTTATACGAGCAAAGGGAGATTATTCAGGATTTATTTTAGGAATTAGAGTATATATCCGAGGACAGTTTTAATATTTATTAGAGGCCATTTTACTACATTTGGTATACTTTGTAAAGAGTATAAATGTCTATAAAGGATATTTGATATTATTAAATGTAGTTGAATTCGATATTTTTATTGAAAATTTAAATAATTTAAATAGCTTTGTGTCTACTAGTATCGTAGAATAAAAGGTCACGTAAGAGTAGTAAATACACTTTTAAATAAATTCATTTTTCTAGTCGTGTCACCTCTTCAGATAAGTGTACAATATGTACAATATACAAGTGTACTGACACTGAAATTGAAGCTTAAATTGTCGACTTTAAAAAACTTACTATAAATTAGTGGATATAATTTATTTCAAAGAAAGTCAAGACATTCTGTGTAACATGTTAAGGCTTTTTAGATGTTGGATTAGCCTGTCGAGCGATAACAGTGTTTGAATAAGTAATCTAATTACTTTTTGTAGTTCGTGAACAAACATTGGGGCACGTTAGATGCGCCATACTTGATACCTCATCGTTCAAAATATAAGATTCGAGCAATTTGAAATGTAATATATTATGATCTGTTTTTTCAGTTTGATGAATATTAATTATTACATAAATTTAAATTTATACATTACAATTTATTTACATATTAGATTACAGTTATTACATAAATTTAAATTTACACATTACAGTACAGTTATTACATAAATTTAAATTTACACATTACAGTACAGTTATTACATAAATTTAAATTTACACATTACACATTACATTACAATTATTATATAAATTTAAATTTACACACTACAATTTATTTACACATTACACATTACATTACAGTTATTAGATAAATAAAAATTTACACATTACAATTTATTTGCACATTACACATTACACTACAATTATTACATAAATTTAAAATTACACAGTACAATTTATTCACACATTACACATTACATTAGAGTTATTACATAAATTTAAATGTACACATTACAATTTATGTACACATATTACAATTATTACATAGATTTAAATTTACGGAAATTATATAAATTCAATTACTTTTAATTCAATTTTTTTTTAATCCAATAAATGCAATTTCTTTTGCAAAATATTAATAGAAAAATAGGACATGTAGGATAGGAGTATATGATACTTGATATCTTGCAATTATAAAAATAAAATTTGAAGAATTTCAGTAGTTGATTTTGTGAATCATCATAAACAAGTTTGTTTGCTAACGAGATAATGTTACTCTATTGACTTGAAAAGGTTACTTGTTATTGCATTGCGTGGTCGTGGATGCTAATGTTTGCTGAATATTCCGAGTGCTTGTTTTCGCCAAGAAACATGCACCAACGTATTGTTTCTTTGTAATAAGAAATTGGCATAATTTCATATTCCTTAATTTGAAGAATAATTTTTTCTGGGATTGGTAAACAAGGCACTTGAAACATCGCAATAGTCGTTGTTTAATAGGAATAAATATTTTCCTTTAATTATGATTCTTTGATTATGTGAACTCTGTATGAATTGTATATAATACGTCCTGACGATTCTTAACGACTTTCTGTGTTTCTCTGTTTCTTTACTTCTTTCACCCTATGCAGCCATTCCTGAGAGACCTTCAGACACGTCCACCCCTAAACCATGGGTGGCCATACATCCTTCCTTTACACACCTATCGTTTTACCAAACATTCATCACTGGCTCCATATAAATATCACTGTTCTCATGTGTATCGTTATTGTAAACAATTTCATTTATATTAAAAAAAAGAAAAGAGAAAAGAAGGTTAAGAATTGTGAGATATTTTCCTTAAAAAATTTATAATTTTTAATTATTTGAAAAAAGAAAAGAAAGAAGGAGGCTAGGAATTATGAGATTTTTTAAAAAATTTATAAATTAAAGTTATTTGAAAAAAGAAAAAAAGAAGGCTAGGAATTGTGAGATATTTTTCTAAAACATTTATAAATTATAGTTATTTGAAAAAAGAAAAAAGGAAGAAGGAGGCTAGAAATTGTAAGATATTTTCCTAAAACATTTATAATTTTTAATTATTTGAAAAAAGAAAGAAAGAAAAAAGGGGGTTAGGAATTATGAGACATTTTCCTAAAAAATTTATAATTTTCAGTTATTTCTTGTCAGTAAATAAAATTAATTTTTTAAATATATGTATTTTATTGAATATATCAAATTAGTTAATTCATTATTCATCTTGATTGTTTATAATACGAAATAAAAATTTGCTGTAACAATTAGTAATTCATTATCAAGGGGAAAATATAGGTATGAAAACGGGAACGAGAAATCTCGATGCACGTGAATACTATCATTCCCATGAGTATCGTTATCGCCAGCGATTTTATTCGTATTTAGGTAAATAGAAAGTTATGAAATATTTTCCCTCGGAATATACAACATTCAGTTATCTCACATCGGTGCGTAAAGTGTAAAAATTTTATCTACTCGATTAAAAGTCTATTTCGATTTCTATCTGGAATCAAATTAAAAAGGGGAAAGTGAGTATAGAAATTAATTTCAGTAACGCGATATTTATTTAAATTCGCGAGAGAATCGAAATTTTCGCATGAAAAGTTTGCACATATCTAACATCGTTATTAACATAAACTATATCTGAGTGCAAAGTGGTTTATCACACAATTTATCTACAGTCTACGAATTTCACGTACTTGCTATTTTCTTCGTTGTTTTAACACAGATATACCATATAACAATTTTAAAAATGAAGATTTATAAACGTGTACTATCTTCTTTCAATAATTA